AACTGTAATCATATAAATAAAATTTACTATAAAATTACATATAAAACATAGGTGTAATAATTATAACATATTAGTATATATATATGTAGGCTTTTAAATATCTCATATAGATATAAACTTATAAAGTTATATAATTTAAAATATGTAACTTGTAATTTTATATTAATACAAGTTTACATTCCTTTTAATGAATAATACAAGTTTATATATATATATATATATATCATTGTTATGATTCTAATTTGTATACATATATATAATAAACTAATATATTTTAAATATATTATATTAATAAGTTTATTTTATATTTGTCTTCTCCGTTTATATTAACTAATATTAGTATGTACATAAAATATTTTACTTTTTGTTTAATTTATTATTAGATTTTATAATTTATTTTTATAAAATTAAAAAAATTTTATGTTCTTTTTATAAACATTTTAATTTTATAAAATTAATGAATTTGGAAGTATTAATTTATAATTTATGATTTAATAAAGTTTTCAAAATATATAAAAAAAAAGCAAAGGCAAACATATTTAAATTTTTAATATTATAAACCATAGTATATAACTATATATTTGATTTTATTAATATGTTTCGTATAAAAGATTAAGCAAATTTTTAAAAGATCTTAATATATTTATATAAAAAAATTTTAAAAATAATAATAACGATGGAATTCTCCAATGAAATGTTCCATTGGTAATAGCTTTTTCCAACAAAAAATTTCGTTGGAAAATTAAGCACTTTAAATTTTTTTAGCTCTTTTAACTTTTCGATAGATTTTAAACGGATAATTTTCTGTTTGAAAATTCCAACGGAAATCCATTGAAAAGTTTGGTGGGAGTAAATTTGTTTTGAACAAAAGAAAATTTCAACGAAAATTTTTTGTTGAAAGTTTGTCAAAAAAAGTCAAAATAAATTTTTATTGAAATTCTATTAGAAGTTCATTGAAAATTTCCAACAGATTTTATTCCATCGAAAAGGGCCTGTTTTCTTGTAGTGAAAAGGAAGAAGAATCTGAAAACTCAACATGGCACCATCTCATGTATAAAAAGTTAAGTGTCAAGTTAAGAGACCTGTCAAGTGTCAAACCAAAAACCCTTTTGAGCTTCTTTTAATATATAATTATAGATAGGTAATAGATTATTTAATATATTATAAAATTAAAATATTTAGTGCCTGTTTGGTTTTACTTTTTTTCAACTTTTTTATATCTCAAAAACAGAAGCCAGGTCAAATAGAATTTTTGGTAAAGCTTTTTTAAAAAAATATTTTTTTTAAAGAACAAAATTAAAAAAAAAAGCTTAAAGAAAAGCTCCAAAAAGGAGCTTTTTCTTCTATTCTTTTAAAAACACACTATTTTTTCAAAAAATACCCCTCTTTTTCAATCAATCTCCCTCTTCTCTCTCTCTGCAAATCATTCTTCTCTTATGCAAAATCACTATTTGACATTTATATAATTTATTTTGCCAAACATCTTACCAAATAGTTTTAACTTAATTTTAAAAATTATTATTTTTTATAAAAACTTCATACTAGCTTCTAAATTAAGAAAAAGCTAGGCCAAATAAGCTCTTAATGTTATAATTAGATAATAT